CATTATTGTGCATGCCCTTACCCTAGCTTCACTAAGAAAAGTCCATGGGGCAGGGGGGAGCAAAACCACATGCAGATTTTATTATAATGATGGTATAATGAGTTCAGGTTTACTCTAGGTTTTATACGCCTGTCTAGTCTGGGCATGAGCAGCCCGGGCAAGTTCCTTCGTGTTACTGTGCTCCCTCTTTATTAGGAAAAGTTGCCCACCACCTGACCATAGTTTTGCCTGTTCTGGGTGGAGTCAGGGGAGGGTTCCCAGATGGTTGGGGTGTGACTTGATTATTCCCCTCTTTTCACCACCGTCACCTCCTTGCTGCTAATGTCTGACTAACTACCTAACACTTGTATGTGGAGATAGCCTATTCCCGGCAACTAAGGCTGCTTACAAGAGCCCTGAGTTGTCCAAGGTCTTGCTGACATTTATATATTTTCAGAAAAGATACATCTTTTCACATTCAAGTGAGTGTCTTGTACTGTTAATGTCAAACTCAGGGCCATGGGTGAGGGAATGGTAAACTTAAAAGAATTCTTGGAACGGAATCCAGAAACTGGAGTTGGTACCACATGGAAAATGAAGGTGCCACTGCAGTAAATCAGTGGGGCAATAAGGGAGGACTAATTGCATACAGATCAAGAAAGCAGCAAGAGACATTTCTGAGCTTCCTCATCTAAAGTCTTGAATCTGCAGCTGCACACTACATAGATAAACTTTGTCCTCATATGTTTATAAACTGAACTGTGAAACTATTTTTCACATCTCTATCTTTTGAAGGTAGTTTTGTGCTTGTTTTGAAGGTGAATAGTCAACATTCACCTTCCTCTTTTGAGGAGCATATATATATCACTAAGTTCTAATAACATTTTTTTCTGTGTTGCAAAATGTGATCTTGGAATAGTTTTGATTTTCTCCAAAATTCATCTTTCCTGCTGATTAAATCAAGATGTGTCCTGCTTGTTTATAAACTTCTGATAAATTCAAGCAAGGGTAAATGCCCCACATAAATTTATTACTATTATTATTATTAATGTTTTATTTTTTTAAGTATTACCAATCAACTGTATACTGTTGCCACTTATAGTAATATAAAATTGCTGTCTACATGTGTTCTAATTAGGAACCTGTACTAGGGTATTTAATGAGAGCCACTCTACCCGATAAGACAAGAAATTTCAAGGTTCTCTGCATGATGAACATTTGTTACTCGCCTCACTGCCCGTTGTGGTTGGTGGGGAGGAGGAAAAGGAGACTCTACCCCACATAGTCATTCAGGGAACAAGGTGTCTTTTATACTTCAGTCTGCCATTATTAGTACATGGCTTCAAGGTTAGCCTGGTATCATCTATCTGAAAGAAGAGGGTAAGCATGGAGTATTCCATAGAGATTTTAGGGCATAGAATTGGTATATGTAATTTGCATCCACTTTCAAATGGCAAGAACTCAGTCACATGGCCCTACCTGACAGTTCTGAAGTGCAGACAGTGCTACATTGTAGAAAAACTACAGTTTTTCTGTATAGTTAGGGGGAAAAGAAAATAGTTTGGAGAAAGAACAACAAAGCATCCATCAGACTAAGTATCCAAGTAAGATTGGCATTTGAGAAAAGTTTTGAACACCAACATAGAATATTATTTCTTGGGATAAAACACTGAATTTAAATACAGTAAACTAATTTATTATTAGATACATCACATTAGCAAAGGACACTGACAATTTTTCTTCCATAGATAAGATTTTATTCCATACAGTAACACTTTGTTAACATCCCTCCTTCTTGCTCTGGTTTTGAAGTACAGAAATAATATTGATTTTTAAAAGCCTGGACAAAGAAGCCTTAGTTATAATTATTATCTGCGAAAGACAAAGACAGTTTAATGTCAATTTGAGACTAATTAATATACCATAAATTATTTTATTCAGTAAGGCTTTGAAATTTTCATTTAATTTATTTCTGAAAAGATTCCAGATTGACATAGTGGCAGGAGTGAAATATCACATCTCAATTGAGAATTCAAACGTTGATGAAAATGAGTAGCAGAATTTCAAGCTAATGAATCTTGAGCAGTTAAAAAGCAAGTCTTTAAGAATGTGAGACTATGAAGAGGATTATGAAATTGAATACTTTAACGACTTCATTGAGTTCTCAGGAATCATCTTTGATATAAAATTAACATTTTATACACACAATATAAATGTTAATTTTATTAGGATGCTTACACATATTAGAATACTTGCATATTGGAATATGTTTTTAGTTTCCTCCTGAGAATGCCACATGTTCAATAAACAGACCTGCTTCTCTCTTTCTCTCTCTCTCTCTCTCTCTCTCTCTCTCTCTCTGGCGAGCACGTGCGCTCGCACTTTCTCTCTCTCTCCCTCTCCCTCCCCCTCTCCTCCTCTCCTCTTGCTCTTTCTCTCTGTTCATCTGTCTTTCTGAGAAAGCAGCTGGTCTTTATCCTTATAATACTTCTCCCCTTTCACTCTAAGGGTTGCCAATCAACACATTTAATTATACATTTGACTTTATTTTCACAGCACAATGATTATGTGATGACTGGATAGTGTTGACATCAGTGTAAGTAGTTAAAAATCTGAAAATAAATTAATCTGTTCTGCTAATTATTTAGAATGCTTGACAGCTCTGATCAAACATTCTATGTCAGCCTTTTCTAAGATGAAGAGTTTAGCAGGATTTATTTATCAAAAACTGTTAGGGACATCCACTCAAAGTTATCATGTGATATTTGATGAAAGATTCTCAGAACCTTTAATACTCCATTGTATATTTTGAATCTATAGACGGTGCATAGTTTGTCCTCACAGAAAAATATTTTGTGTGTATGTCTTTCATATTCAGGAAATTAAATGTAAATATTTCAAGACTAATATAATGAGAAATAAATATGCCTTAATTATATAAAACTAGATTAAAATTTACTTAACTGAGAATTCACACCTATATTCATTCAGACAAAGAGAGGCATTTGGGGAAAAGTAAGAGGAATATAAGTAAGGGAAGTTGTATTATTAGATAGATAGGTAGATAAAACATAGACAAAAATGTTGAGAGATTTAGATAAATTTATTTTTTATATGTTTTTGGTATTGTTGTTTTATTATGGGTTAAATGGGTACTCCCTAATAAGCCTTTCAGGTTGGTCTGAGAAGTCTTACTGGAAAATACCACTGACAGCCTCATAAGTGGTAAATGCTACCATTTTCTGAAGTATGTTGTTTCCATCTTTGACCAAAGTTCTGTCAGAAAAACTACAAATTTTTAATATTCCCAGCAATAAGGAGTTTAATACAGGGCATCAGAAGCTTTTGCAATAATTGGTAGGCTGAAGAGTAAGGGTCCTGAATTAGCTTGGGAAATCCAGAAGTGCTGGCTCTTCCCGCATTATAACACACAAGTGATTTGGGGATGTTTTCCAGAAGCCACTGCAAACTTGTATTCTACATAGTTCCCATGCAACTGTCTTCAGCTCTCATCTAAGGATACTTTCAATTTCTATTCTGTCTTCCAAATCTTCTGCAAATATCCCTCATTGGCAGAAGAACCAGAATTTTAACTCTGCTTGCAAAACATCTTAGAGACTGTAATTTTCTATCTTGCTGTATAGGAGAGAGTATAAAAAAGAGAATTCAACAGTTGAGAAAAGATAATATTAAACGGTATACCTCTTTTTTGGTATCTATAAACTCCAAACCACAGTGATAAAACAATGTATGTGCCTAACAGGTTTTAAGTAACTTTTGTGTACAAATGAACCCATGGTCACTCTTTCTTCCAACAACATATTCAGAGCCCCAGTGCTTACTCTCTATATATCTGTAGATTATATTGATCACTTTTCTAGTCCATCTGCAACTGTGCTATACTTAGTGGCTATTGATAGTAGTGTATAGTGGAAGTGATACAATTGCATTCCAGATCTAGATCCTAAGTGGCTATGCACTTATGCCTGTCTCTGTGGATTACTTGTACTGGAGCCCTGAGTTTTCGTATGAACAGTCTGACTTCTCTGTAAGCACCACACATGAAACAACCACATGGAAAATCATTGGAACTACACAAAGAGAGAGAGACAATCAGCCAGAGCCAGTGCAGTGTACAGTAGGTACCCGCTATTCCAGATCCAGCCACGTGAGACAACCTGAGCTGGAATGGCTTAGCTAAGCCCATTCCAAATTCCTGAGCCAAACAAATCATGAGAGAGAATTTTAAAAATACTTTATATTTAGAGGAATAGAAAATTTAGGAAGGAAATTCCTTCCTCATATTAATCATGGTTCTCTAGAGAAACAAAACCAATTCAGCAAGGTGAATACAGGAAGTTTTTAAATGCCAATTGCTTTTTCTCTATTTGTATTAAAACAAAACACTTAGGAAAGCAAAATATCCCATATATGGTATCAGTAAAGTTGTAAAATATTCATAATAAGCTGTTTGTTGTTGTTGTTGTTGTTTTGCGGTACACGGGCCTCTCACTGTTGTGGCCTCTCCCATTGCGGAGCACAGGCTCTGGACACGCAGGCTCAGTGGCCATGGCTCACGGGCCCAGCCACTCCACAGCATGTGGGACCTCCCGGACCGGGGCACGAACCCGAGTCCCCTGCATCGGCAGGCGGACTCTCAACCACTGCGCCACCAGGGAAGCCCCATAATAAGCTTTATAAGAATGTTATATGGCATATATTAAAAAATGTAAAATCTTCAAAAGACATAAAATTAGATGTTTTGGGGTGGGAAAACAATATAAAATTCCAATATTCTCAAATTAATGCAATTAGTGCTATTCATTAAGAAGTTCAACAGGTTTTTGTTGTTGCTATTGTTATTGAGGCAAATGATCTGAAAGTATGTAAGAAATGAGAAATATCTAAGAGTAGCTGCAGTGTTTGAAAAGAATTAGTTCAGGTCACCATTATGTGTCTCTCATTTCTTTCATCCTAGCTGGTCACCCAGTGCATGTTCTTCTCTTGGAAATGGCAGAAGGAAAAGAAGCAATGCTCAACATGCAAACATATTGAAGTTCTCTACTTGTTCAATGTCTGCTAATATCCCATTGCTGAAAATATAGCATGATCAAGACAAAAGTGAAGGGACAGATGTGAGGATGATAACCAACAATAAAACAGAAGCTTTGAGATGTAAGGTAAGTCTTTTAATGGTATCTACCCTTTCATCCATGTAGGTAGTGGAAGAGAAGAAAAGGTGAAATATGCTGAATGATAAATATTTTAATCCACCAGAGTGGAGCAATATGGGATTCTTGACATGGACTTCAATTTGGAAAGACTGTGTTTCATGTATACTTAAATTTAGACCTCCCTTTGGAACAGGAATGCTCCTGTTTTCCTTTGGATATCATTATCAAGCTTCTGTGCTTTTGAAATAACTCCTCTTCCATTTTCTCAATTCCAATCTTCTCTTCCCTGTAGCCCATCCTCTATAGCAGTGACTCTCAAACTTTAGAACTGTATAAAAGTCACCTGGCATCTTTTTAAAATGTGGATTCCAATTCAGTAATTCTGGGTAGGCCTGAGATTCTTCTGTCTATCCAACTTCCAGAAGATACTTATGTTGCTGTATGTGGACCAGGCTTTCATTAATAAGACTTTATCCTGTTTTCAGAAGTGTCTTTCTGGTACACACAAACACACACACAAGTGAGCTCGTTAAGTCTCTTCTTTAATTTTTTTAAATTGTGTTCCTGTTAATTACAGGGAAGCATAATTCAACTGCACACGTCTTCTTCACTCTTTTTCCATGGTGCTTCTCACAATGCCAGTTATAAGCTCTTTGCTGCTTCCTTCCTTTTTAATTAACAAACACTGATCCATTCTTTCAGAGGGAGCTCATGTGCCTATAAATACCATAATGCCACCAGACAGCATAGCCACCCAATTTTTCATTCTCTACATAATGAATTTGTACATTTGTTTGATTATATGTTTGTTCTAATAGTCAGCCTATACTTTCTAGCAGAAGAGCAATTCTGCTTTATTTACCTGTACCATCAGAATCTAGCATGTGGGCCTGGCACACAGTAACTACTCAGAGATATTTATATCATCCAAGTGATGTTGTATTTGTATGTTTCTTTACTATTATTATTTCACATACAGTCAAGTGCCTATGAAGTGCCAGACACTGACCAGATCACTGGTAATACAATGATAAGCAAAGATCACTTCCCCCTGAATACTTATAGTTCAGTGGGAGAAATAACCATAAATAAGTGATCACACTAAAAATTATTTCATTACAGACTCTGAGAAGTGCTATAAAGGAAAAGAAAAATGTATAATATAGACATAATGGCAATGCAGACTGATTTAGTGGGGAAGCACCAGTTAACCCTTCTCTGAAGAAGTATTATTACAGAATCCTAAAGTATAAATAGGAGTTAGTGACTAAAAAATAGCAGGAGGATTGGAGGAGTGTTCTAGACTGAGAAAATAGTAAGAATTAAGATTTTCAGTCAGGAAAGTGCTTGGGATATTTCATGGACTAGGTAGTTATAGCTGTGCACCTTGAGCATATAAAAGAGGGGTAGTAGTATACCAAATGAGGTTGAAATAGTTGGTGACAGCAAACAGCCAATTGTGCAGCCTTCTTCCCACCATCTTAAGGAGTTTGAATTTCACTTATCTTTTTGAAGGGAAGCGAAGGAAAGATTTTATGCAGGGCATTGACATAAGATTCATATTAGAAAAATACTGTTCTGCCAGTAATATGGGTTATGAAACAGCAGGAAGCTTATAGTGTACTTATTAAGGCTTGCTCATTGTTTCACATGTGGTTCACACAATATTTGTCAGTTTGAGGCACTATTTCTGACTTCAGTTGCAGTAAATGTGAGAATAAATATTTAACATCAGCATGGGGAGTACTTAAATCATTCAGTACCCTAGAGGTTAAGAGTTATTCATTTTACTTGCCCTAGGGAAGTGCTTGTGTGACTCTGTGTGTGTGTGTGTGTGTGTGTGTGTATGTGTGTGTGTGAAATAAGGGTTTTGCTTATGACACATTATACTAATTCCAGGAAAGCAGAGCCCAAGACAAACTATCTACCAATTTCATTGCATGACTCACCCTTCAAATAAACCTCTTTAATAAAAAAAAAGTCATTTGGCAGACTATAATTTTTAAACATTTATGATATGTACTCTTAATATACTGACTTTGTTTAAAACTTTGTGTATATTATTTAATGATTTAAACATGTATTCAATCCAAAAAGACATGTTCGAAATAATTTCAAACACACAAATTCTACATACTTGTGAGCTGTTCTTATTCTAAGCTGAGATATCTTAAAAACTTTAAAAAATCACTGTAACTTACTGTCTTGTACAGTTTACAAATAATTTTATCTGCATTTTTACTTTATCTTTCCAGTATCCCCCACTATAAGTCACACTCTCAATAAGAATCAAACCTTTTGAATTTAAATTCAGTATTTTATATTCACTATTATTTCCTCTTAATATTGTCTCACTGCCTTTATCTAATTATTCATCTCTAGCGTATGCTCTGTTTAGAGGAGGAAGAGTGTTTAGAAGTATAGAGAATATATTATTACTTCAGTGCATTTTTCAGGTTATTATGGTTTTCACAGAATTCGTGTGACAAATCAATGATCAAATGACAGATAAGCAATTTTACTTATTTTGTGATATTTAGTACCAAAGTAGGGCAATTGTAGTAAATGCATATAAGTGAAAACCAGAATATCACAATAATTAATGAGTAAAGGGTTTTTGACAAACTTCACCTGGAAAGTAATTTTATATATCAGATTATCCTTAGAAAGATGCAAAATAAAGTATTTCTTCCCCATGGGATTAGTCTCCGGAGTTTACTTTAGTAGATATTGTGATTTTGAATGAATCAGTTTGAATTCATAATTTAAATGTGTATAGTCAGTAATGGGATATTCAAGAGTAATGAATATAAATAACCATAAGTGTATTGAATATAAATAATCATAAGTGTATTTCTTTTAAGACATTGAAATAACTAATTTTCTGCTTGAGTATAGGGCAGCCAGGAAGGTTTTGTATACTTAGAGAATAAACTATGTGAATATTATTGGTTGTAAGTGCAGTTTGAATATGTCAATGTGATTCAACTTAAGTCCAAAGTATAGTGTTCTTTTCCTAAGCAATGACATATCAGTGGATGCCTTAGAGCCTTTTAAAATAAATAAGGAAAAAGGTAAAGATGCTTTTTTCCATTACAAGTAAGACATCTATTTTAGTTAGAGGCTTTAGTTCCAGGAATGTGAGTGTATCCGAATTTCAGCCAGTGAGGACTACACATTGCTATTCAGTAGATCTTCATTCTTCATTCTCTTATAACTCTTGTACCAACATAGAAAGGTTAAAATTTGTTATGTTTTATTATTCTATGTAGTAGTAGAAATTTTAACAACCCTTTTGAGGGTTTTTAATTTAGGGCTAGTGGGTGCTAGTAACATGGAGTAACATGCACGGACTTCTAATTAAACATGAAAAATTAATACATGCTTTCTTCTGAATTTCACTTTAAAGGACAAAGAGAATGAAAGAGACAGTAGGTGATGAGAGATAGAGTGAAATTAGAAAGAAGAATCAGTAACTCACCTAGAAGAGTAGAAATAGATGAAACCTAAATGCTGGCCAAAATAAATGTCTTATGACTCAAGACAATTTATCCTAAAGAAATCCAGTCAGGATCAGGAACTAGAGGGTTTAGGTATCTCAGGAAGCAGGGTGAGGTGTCAAACTGACATAGGTAAATCCACACAAGAATAAATTAGAAGTGAAATGTTACTTAATAAGGCTGTACCTAGCACAATCTATCAACTCAGAAACTGGAATGCCTCTGGATCTGGAGTCACTGAGCGTAAAGAAAGACTGCCAGAATCTGACAAACTAAAGACCAAAATAAAGGGTAGAATATTCAGTTTATGGATTCCTTAAACTCTTTTATTAAACATACAAGTAATGTATTAATTTATAGAATTATTTTGCATTCCAGAGTTTTCTTCTAGATAATTTACTGTTTCTTGTGCTTTAACACTTAAGAAGAAAGAAAGCTTAACGAAAGGACAGTAGGTAATAGTGATGGATATTAACTTAATTTTTACAGTATATTCATGTTGTAGTGAGTGAGAGTGAGAGAGATCTTTTATTTCATATTTAAAGTATTTTAGGTGGTGGAAATTTGGTTTGTTCACAATTATTCAAAAACTAAGTTACATTAAGAACGACTTCTTTTAGCTAGTGGGAAGCAGATGCATAGCACAGGTGGATCAGCTTGGTGCTTTGTGACCACCTAGAGGGGTGGGATAGGGAGGGTGGGAGGAAGGGAGACGCAAGAGGGAAGAGATATGGGGATATATGTATATGTATAACTGATTCACTTTGTTATAAAGCAGAAACTAACACACCATTGTAAAGCAATTATACTCCAATAAAGATATTAAAAATAAAATAAAATAAAATAAAAAGAACCGCTTCTTTTACTCAACATGGTATCTATTAAATTTTTTCTCTTCAAAAGGATCTTTTCTTTTTGTTTTTCTTCCTTGATTTTTTGTTTAACATCTTTATTGGAGTATAATTGCTTTACAATGGTGTGTTACTTTCTGCTGTATAACAAAGTGAATCAGCTAAACGTGTACATATATCCCTATATCTCCTCCCTCTTTGTGTCTCCCTCCCACCCTCCCTATCCCACCCCTCTAGGTGGTCACAAAGCACTGAGCTGATCTCCCTGTGCTATGCGGCTGCTTCCCTTTAGCTATCTATTTTACAGTTGGTAGTATATATAAGTCCATGCCACTCTCTCACTTCGTCCCAGCTTACCCTTCCCCGCTCCATGTCCTCAAGTCCATTCTCTACATCTGGGTCTTTATTCCTGTCCTGCCCCTAGGTTCTTCATAACCTTTTTTTTTTAGATTCCATGTACATGTGTTAGCATATGGTATTTGTTTTTCTCTTTCTGACTTACTTCACTCTGTATGACAGACTCTAGGTCCATCCACCTCACTACAAATAACTCAATTTCGTTACTTTTTATGGCTGAGTAGTATTCCATTGTATATATATGTGCCACATCTTCTTTATCCATTCAACTGTCAATGGACACTTAGGTTGCTTCTAT